ATTTCAATTTCCGATTGATTATTAGCAAGAATTAGAGAATTAATAATTTTTTCTAGCCTAAATAGACCTGAAAAGAAAGAAATAAAATTTTGTTGTAAGAACATAAATGGTAACTTATTATAAGATTCTTTTTATTAATATCACTATATCGTGGTTTAGCAAATATTGAAGCCGAAGACGGCGGGATTTTTTAGGGGGGGGGGATATTATGTAGGGGGGGGGGGGTATTATGTAGGGGGGGGGGGGTTTGCCTCAATCAAATTTCTACCATGTAGACGCTGGAAACTATCCGATTCAAACTAAGGCTTGATACCTCATGGACTGCCTTAGGAATTGTTTGGAGCTATGCTAAAAATGGTTAATATATATTAGAATATGAGATACCCTACATTTTAGGAGAAACCAAACCCATCACTAGAATTTATCGAAACTTGTCAAATTTTGAAAAGGCCTGGACTAAAGTTTAGTGTTGTTAAAAACCTGATTAAGAATTTAGCCAAAATAATTTTAAGACTCGAGATTTTGCAAATAGATGTCCAAATCTTTCTGTCACATATGAGCAAAATCTCCAGTTTACATAATATTATTTTGGCTAACATCTTTATCGGGCCGTTTTCAAAATCGACCCAAATTGCCCTTTTTAACAAAATAATAGAAAAAGTATAAATTTATACATTAATTTTTAGTAATTATAGCACTAATTTCATCTAAAAATAATGGCCTTTTTCTAATTATCAATAAATAATTTAAAATTGTTGTAAAATATATTGATTGTTTATCCCAGATTTGTGTGAATGGATAAACTTATATAAAAAAATATATCAATTTTTTCATTTTATAATTAATATTTTAAATTGTTAGGTTAACATATTCAATAACTTGAGTTACAATCTTTTTAATGATTTTCCGAACTCCTTAAATTAAATATATATAGTTTATAAATAACATTATGAATTTACTATTTATGTAATCTTTAAGACATGATTTTGTTAACCCTCCTCAAAAACCTATACCCCCTCCCCATATTATTAATTACATTTTTTAAATTATACTGGTACTCCTTTCATAAATTTTAAAAATACAAACTTAAATTATAATACTCTACTATCAACTTTCAAAATATTATGAATGTCAATATTGTATTTTAACATTGAATGTATTATTATAGTATATTGTTTGGCATGTTTGCTGAGCAAGTCTAACCTTTTTAAATTATATTTAAAGGGATAGCAGAAAGTTTTATTTGGAAGATAATGTCTATAATTGTATGCAATATATATTTGGTCGATGTTTAGCAATATCATTGTATTGTAAGTTAATAAAATTATTAATTTTTACAGCAATTCTGCCCTATTTCATCTAAAAATGTAATAGATAATCTTCCCAATAATTTCTCCTACCCCTAGCTTACCCCCCTTAAATGCCTACCTCCTACCCCCTCTTAAAAAATTTAAAGCAAACTTTCATACCCCACCCCCTACTCCCGCTCATGTAAAAGCTGGACACGGTTAGGGTTAATTAAAGGCTTGGGAGATGTGGGAGAACAGGTATATTAATGTTTTTTTAATAGTGTTGTTAAATAGTCGAGATTTTATGACTCTGAACTTTAGTTGGAGTCGCAAAACTAATTTCAAATTAAGTGGCTCGATGAGTTGGCTTCAGGTCGGCTAGAGTTTATTTTGAATTGACCTGCTATTATTAATTTCACAATGAAAACATTAAAAAAATTTAACCACTTTGGTTCGGGAATTTAAATAAATTATAAATGACTTATGTGTATTATTTGAAGAATATGACCATTATATTATTAATATTACCTAAACCTCGACATTTCGCTGATAGATGTTCAAACTTTTGTGCCATCTATGACAACAATCTTAAGGCTTGCGGTGTAATAGCTTTCTGGATAAAATATTGAGTTAGCCGTTTATAAAAATTGTCTCAAATCGAGCCGTTTAACACCCACTACCTATTAATATACAATTATTTAGAATATTATATATATAAAAAATGATTTTAAAAAAAATATCAGACCTGGGTAGAATTCTTTTAAAAAATATTATATTTATTTATAATATTCTAGCTAATAATGGCGATTTAAAATATTGAGTTTTAAAAATACGGTTTGGCCCGGATATATTTTAAAAAAATTAAAATACAGAGGCCGGGATCAGGACTGTTCTATAGGTCTCTGATTGATATATAGTAATAAAAATTATTTTTTAGTCATAATTCAGAAAGCGATTCCAACGCTACTATCGAAACCGATTGGAATAATTTCTAACTCGGCCCGTAAACTTTTGCAAGCTGGATATAATATTTTTCAATTGGGTGCACGTTAAAACTTTGCGAAAGGTCTGCTCAGGTCCGTTAAGTTTTTTAGTTCAGTTCTTGGCCATCACAATATTTTATTAATATCTAATTTTTTTCCATCCTTTTTTTTCAATTTAAAATTATTTTCCAGATTAAAAACAATATTTATTTCCATTCCCCCTTCCCTCTTTTTTTTCCAAAAATTAGATTATTATTTTATTAGTGTGGAAATTTAATAATTAAATAAACGGCGTCTTTTATTTATATTTAAACAAAATTTCATTCAGCCTCCCCTATTGTAAAAATATTAAAAGAAAATAGAAAAGATTATTTTTAATTGCATTAAAAATTATGAATAATGTTGTAGACTCTGATTTAAGTCTTTCTTCTGACTCGTAGCTTCTCTATATGTAAGTCCTAATAATAATTTTGACGAGGTAAATTTATTTAAAAGCTATTTCCAACTTTGCAGATACTCCAAAAAAAATATGCGAAGATGCAAGCATTGCAATGTACAATACAGAGTTGTACATCTACTAAAAAATAAAAAGAGATCTCTTAAGATTGTCAAATTTATACTTCGAATCTCCAAAGCATGTTTAGGATCTTGATTTCCTTCCATGTCTAATATCGGAAGCCTTGATAATGAGTCGGCGATTACACTTTTACTACCAAGATATTCTATTATAAAATCATATAAAAAGCCATCTTCCAGGCCCAAAGTGTCAAGCGATTATTATAAATTTTAGGTAAATCGCGCTTCTCGCCAAATAATCGCTCTAATGGTTTGTGATCAGTTCGAAGTAAAAATTTTCAACCATAAATAAGTGGATGAATTTTTTCAATACCAAATAAAGCGCTCGAGCTTCTTTATCAATCAGAGCGTAGTGTTCTCTGATTCTAATAAAGTATGTGACCTGAACGAAATAGGTTTTGTCTTTCCATCTACTAATTGATGTAGCAACAGAGCCCCTAATCCTGATTCTGATGCGTCGCATTCTAAAATTAGAGGCAACTGCATGTTATAAGGAATTAACGTTCCCTAGGAAGACAATAAGTTTTTAACCTCACCAAGGAATTTTGTTCATCTTTCGTCCACCGACAAGGTACTTTCATAATCGTTAATTTATTATTTAGATTACGAATAAAACGTTCATGATAATTCAACCCTAGAAAAGATATAAGTTGTTGTATATTCTTAGGTTTTGGTGGATTTCGGATAGCCTTTATCTTTTCTGGTGATGAGAACTTAATCTGATCAAGTTAGATTAACCGTTTTATTGTATCCAATATCTTCATGTATATAAAAAAATATTCTAATTAACTAAAAAATAATAATCAAAATTAATGCTAATAATAATTATGATAATGAATTAATATAATGTTCCCAATTCCAATTTATCTTTTCTTTCTATTTATCATCTCATATATTGACATATATGACACTAACAAGATCAAATCTAGAAGCAAAAGTTGTTGAAATCGGTTTAAATAATTTAAAATATTGACTTAATTTCTTTCAAAGATAAGGTTTCAATCGAATCAGGATAACAAAAACGGTCCACCAACATAATATTCCTATTGCCAAAATATGTCAAAAATATTTTTTTATATTGACATTCAGTAGGGCTTCCGTTTTTTAACCAAAAACTGGCTTCCCATTGAGAAAAATAACGATATTGTTTATTTTCTATTGTTTGTACTGTAAATTTATTCGTACTAAAAATTAATCCGAATCCATGGTTAGACCACGCATTACTCAAGGAACTTTTGTGGGCAATAGACCACCTCTTGACATCGCTAACCAACCGCCAGGATAGCCTCCGAACTTAGACGGCACTAATCTCGTTCTTACGCCGGATAATTCAATGGATGCTGCCCCCGTCGATCCGAACACCCGCGCTATTATCGCGGCTATGCAAGCCATCTCCGAACGCATGGCAGCCTTGTCCACGCAAGTGAACGGCCAGGACCGACAGCGACAACGTACCCCGTCACCTAGACACACGTCTACCCCCCGAGAAAGGGGTCCTCAAGTGATCGGTACACAAACCACGGAAGCACTTCCACCGTCAGCAATACCAGGCGCACCTCCAACGTTGCCCCCGGTACAACTCGAGCCCCCAGCGACATCAGCCGAAGCCTAGGATAGACTAATGAAAGTTTGGGCAGGCCTCCAACAAGATCTCCTCGAGCCAAGATGCAAGGCCACTGACAGAGACCGTCATGAGATCAAGCACATCGCTGAAGTGTTAGAAATTCTGTCGCCGGAATCTGACATTAGAATGCTGAAAGTTCAGGCAAAAAGGATTCGAGTTCTGGCGTTAGCCATTCATTGGAATTGGAAAACCGCGAGGAATAACGATGCTTCATACCAAGAGAAATTCTTATGCGGGGAAAACATTACTGTCTATCAGGACCCTGCACCCTTTTGAGACAGGGGCCGTGCAGGCCCCTCCACCTTCAGTTATCGGAAACGCCCTGAAAGGAAGGACGCGGCCCCCGCCAGGGGTAAGAAAAGGAAGTAGCGAACTCGTCGTACCTCCGAAACCCCTACTATCGTCTCCCTCTTCTCTTCTACTATCTCTTCTACCTCCTTCAACTATCAACCCACCGGTACAACCAGGGGTTACCGGTCCGAGCAACGGCCCACCGGCTCGAAGGACGGGAACATCGCAGCCCCCTAGCTAAAGTCCAAGGTGTCTTCTTGGTGCCATCCAGGTCCTTGATGGGAGGTCGGCAGGGTTATCCTCCGTCGGAATCCATTGTATATTCTGCGATATGGCGGTAAAGTTTAGCAAACCTAGCTTGATCATGATTTGTGTGATGATGATCTCTAGCGAAGGTGACCGTGACCCTTCCTTTCTGAAGGTAAAGTAGGCTACCGATGAGTCCGTAAAAATCATAGGATGCTCATTATTTCGGTGGATTGCCATGATGGCTCCCATTCCTACTGCGAGGATCTCTTTGCCATTGATGTGGGAAATCGCATGGACGGGGATGTTGAATAGGAGGCATGCTTCACTGTATGCTACCGAGAGGTTGTCGGTCTCCCAGAAGTTAATACCCATGTGGGAGTTGGATGCGTCGACATATACCGGTGAGTTGGCATAGTAGTGAAGAGGCAAGGGGGTTGCTAATGCGTCGATGATCAGTCGCGCTTTCGTTAAATCCAGGAAGGTGTCCACTATGGGGCCCAGCTGCTCGCTGTTCATCGTAACGTAGTATGGGGAGAAGAGTCTCGACATACCGGTTATAGTGTAGGCGTAGTGGTTTACGACCCCTAGGACTCTGGCCGCTAGTTGTACCCCTATCTCGAGATGTTGGTAGGAATGTCGCCGAAAGACCTCCAGGCATTTGTGGAGTCTTCTTCTCGTACCTGTATCTGCTGAGACTGTTTTGCTGGTTAGATCGATGGAGACCCCCAGATAGGTAATTTGAGGTGTAGGGTCGAGTACTGATTTCTCAGGTGCTATTTGTAAGCCCCATCCTTCCAGGGTGCAGCGCAGTGATCGTGTAGACCATTTGACGTCGTTCTCGTTGGGCCCGTATATTAGGATGTCATCAAGGTATACGTTGTAGTTGGCCTTCTTGACAGTCTTGGCGCAGGCATCCAGGATAATTGATTGGAGGCAGTAAGGGCTAAAGGACGCGCCCATGGGCAATACTTTGTATCGAAAGTTGCTATTATTAAATTTGAAGCCGAAGAATTTTCTCACACTGCTCGAGAGGGGGATAGAGAAAAAGGCTGATCTGATGTCAATTTTGCAGGCATAAGATGCCTGATAAAGCTTGGCTGACATAAGAGGAATTGATTTGAGACGGAAGGGATAGTGCAGGAAGTTTTTGGATACTTCGGAGAAGTCGCTAATGACCCGAGGTGCACCATTCCCTTTTGGGATCACGAATAAGGGTGAGCATATTTGATCCTCGTCAGCTGGTTCAATGACATCGGCAACGATTAACTGCCTAACAATGTCGTGATATTTGTTATGTACGCCCGCGCGAATATTGTGTTTAAAGTATATGTTATTATTATTGTTTATTTTTAGGTGGTCAATGCGCGGGCGGAACCCTCTTTCAGCGACTCTTTTAGTGAAGGGCGACATGAGTGGTCCTACGGTGAGTCTTGCATTGCTGATGTTGAGGCTGGGGCGGTCGGCGAGCTGTTCGTCAGAGAAGGTGCTTCTAGGACCCCCGACAACGATACCATTAAGGATACCGGGTATGTTGGGTGTATTCGATGCTCCCACCTAGGGCATACCAGGTTCATCATCGGTGCTGTAGACAGAGTATTTTAACGCCGTAATGATTGACTGAGCTTCGCTATCGTCCGCAGAGCTACTTGAAGGTAGCGAGTCAGAGAGGGGACTAGGTGTCCACCATTCGGGTATGCCAGAATCTTCTGATAAGAAGGAAGGGATATCCGACTCGGATCGTGGGCTAACGTCGGGGTTGTTGCACACAGGGGTATGATTGTTATCTATTGCAGAATCCGGTGCGTCACTGTCCCCGTCAGTGTCAATCAGCGAAAACATCTGATGCCTCAGCTCCCTAAGAAATTTATTTACCGTAGTTAGCCAGCTAGGGGGCTGCGATGTTCCCGTCCTTCGAGCCGGTGGGCCGTTGCTCGGACCGGTAACCCCTGGTTGTACCGGTGGGTTGATAGTTGAAGGAGGTAGAAGAGATAGTGGAAGAGAAGAGGGAGACGATAGTAGGGGTTTCGGAGGTACGACGAGTTCGCTACTTCCTTTTCTTACCCCTGGCGGGGGCCGCGTCCTTCCTTTCAGGGCGTTTCCGATAACTGAAGGTGGAGGGGCCTGCACGGCCCCTGTCTCAAAAGGGTGCAGGGTCCTGATAGACAGTAATGTTTTCCCCGCATAAGAATTTCTCTTGGTATGAAGCATCGTTATTCCTCGCGGTTTTCCAATTCCAATGAATGGCTAACGCCAGAACTCGAATCCTTTTTGCCTGAATTTTCAGCATTCTAATGTCAGATTCCGGCGACAGAATTTCTAACACTTCAGCGATGTGCTTGATCTCATGACGGTCTCTGTCAGTGGCCTTGCATCTTGGCTCGAGGAGATCTTGTTGGAGGCCTGCCCAAACTTTCATTAGTCTATCCTAGGCTTCGGCTGATGTCGCTGGGGGCTCGAGTTGTACCGGGGGCAACGTTGGAGGTGCGCCTGGTATTGCTGGCGGTGGAGGTGCTTCCGTGGTTTGTGTACCGATCACTTGAGGACCCCTTTCTCGGGGGGTAGACGTGTGTCTAGGTGACGGGGTACGTTGTCGCTGTCGGTCCTGGCCGTTCACTTGCGTGGACAAGGCTGCCATGCGTTCGGAGATGGCTTGCATCCGCGATAATAGCGCGGGTGCTCGGATCGACGGGGGCAGCATCCATTGAATTATCCGGCGTAAGAACGAGATTAGTGCCGTCAAATTATATCGTTTTATTATATTTTATAATTATCACTAATTAAATTTAAATGTTCCATTCTTTTTCATAAATATATAATAAATAACAATTTATTACATTTAAATAATAAATAACAATTTATTACATTTAAATAATAAATACAAGTTTATTACAGATATATATATTTCAAGAAGAAATAAATTTTAAACCCTTCCCTTATTAGTCTATTATCACAATTTTCTTGACAAAAAAACTCCAAAATTATATAGTTCTATTATAAGCTATACTTAAATGCTGATGAATTAACATAAAAAAATATATTTGCAATAAGTTATAAATATTAGCAACAACTGCATATATAAATATTATATTTGTAAACATTTGAGTGAAAAAATCATAGCCTGAGACTTCTTTAAAATTTATAAGAACCAGGTCTAACAAAAGTATGAGCGCCTTGCTCAAATTTTTTAAAATGTTTGTTTTATAGAGTTTATAATTAGAAACCTTGAAAACATATTGTTGTAAATATTTTTATTTATTAATCATAATTAATATTATTTTTTTTTGTGTGTGAGTCATGAAATATTTTTTTTGGAGTTTTGTTTTTAATATATTTTTTTTAAGTTTCGCGAACTCATCGTGACCATTATTATAAATATTTTTAATATTTATTATAAAAAAAAAATAATAATCAGATATAAAAACCTGAAAAAGGTTAAAAAATTATCATTATTATAATTATATATTTTTTAGAAAAATTTCCTTTGAAACAAGAAAATAAAGATGTTATATTGTAAAATCATTTGTTTTGAAAAGGTAAAAAAAAAAATAAAGACTTTGTATTTTAAAATAATAAGAACTACCAAGTTGAAAGTTTCTAGCCATTAGAACTTTGAAATTGGTGCCGTGTTTATACAAAACAACCTGGTTAATGCGGTTGTCGTTTGAGTCTTCGAGTGAATTTTACATCGTCATCATCGTCTACATCTACGGTAAAATATCATATAGTGATATTTGAGTCTTCGAGTGAATTTACAGCGTCTTCATCACCTACATCTACGGTAAAATATCATAGAGGGATATTTGAGACTACGAGTGAATTTTATATCGTCTTCATCGTCTACATCTACGGTAAAATATCATATAGTGATATTTGAGTCTTCGAGTGAATTTACAGCGTCTTCATCATCTACATCTACGGTGAAATATCATATAGTGATATTTGAGTCTTCGAGTGAATTTACAGCGTCTTCATCACCTACATCTACGGTAAAATATCATAGAGGGATATTTGAGACTACGAGTGAATTTTACATCATCTACATCTACGGTAAAATATCATATAGTGATATTTGAGTCTTCGAGTGAATTTACAGCGTCTTCATCACCTACATCTACGGTAAAATATCATAGAGGGATATTTGAGACTACGAGTGAATTTTACATCGTCTACATCAACGGTAAAATATCATATAGGGATATTTGAAACTACGAGTGAATTTTACATCGTCTACATCAACGGTAAAATATCTAGGAAAAGTGTTAAAGGATTGTAAAACACATTTTTTTTAAAAAAAAAAAAATACACAGAGTGGCCAAATTGGACGTAAGTGCTGTCCATTTTTTTTTCTTTCTCTTCTCCAAAAAGTAAAAAAAAATCTTATTGTACGGAAGTGCTGTCCGAATTTTACCAGTTGTGAATCTGTTACACAAAATTTGAAAAAAAAATCTTATCATACGGAAGTGCTGTCCGAATTTTACCAGTTGTGAATCTGTTACACAAAATTTGCCCAAATTTTTGTCGTGTCTTTAGACTTATTAACTGTAGATGTACATGTGTATCATTGGATTGTTTACACTCTTAATAATATCGTATCTATTGACATTACAAATAACCAAAATTTTTATTTTGAAATTAATTATAAATTTTTTCATAACGTCGGAATGAAAAGTTTAAAATTTGTAAAATACTGGGAAATACAGTATAATATTTTTGGGGCATTGGTTATATTAGTAATATGGATGTGTAGCTTAATATGGGGAAGAAGGTTGAGAAGGAGTCGAAGTGTGAGAATAAAGGGGCAGACATAGACGATAGACGGACATAATGGAGAAGAAGATGTTATGGGAAAGGTAACATGGTTCCCAGTACAGGAGATAATTAATGGGTGGACGGATAGCGAAGTAGATAAATTAACCTATAGGCCTGAAAGGAGAGATGCATATACTAATCAGAGATTGGGGACATATAGGGGACCTAGAGAAAATTCTCAGGGAAGGAGAGGAGAAATGAGACCCAACTTTGATTCTATAGTAAGGGGGAGAATGAATTGTTATAATTGCGGAAGACAGGGACATATGGTCAGAGATTGCTAAAACAAAATGTTTTGAATGTGAAAAATATGGACATATAGCCCCGTTTTGTCCAGGAAGACGTGATAAACTACGATGTGCAGGTTGTGGCCGATTTGGTCACAATAGGGAGGAATGCAATGTGGGTAATTTCAATACTAGAGGCGGTTTTCCACAGAGGGACATGGGGCAAAGTACTCCAAATGTTAGAATTATTAAAAGTAAAAAAAATAAAGAGGTAGAAATACCATTTTTGGCTGTGAATAAAGAGCAGAATAGAATCTGTTTCCGATGCCGGAAGGAAGGACATGGTACGAGAGATTGCGAGTATTCGTGACTATATGATGGCAAAGAGCATGCCACAGAGGTCGGGGGGCTTTGGGCGAAAGAGATGGGAAGATCAGATTATAGTGAGAAAGATTGGGAATCAAAGGGCATAAATATGATACAAGAGGAAAGGATACATGATCCTTGCCCTAGAGTTTGGATAAATTTGAATGGAAATATGGTATCTATGTTATTTGATACCGGGGCAGCCAAATCCGTGATGGGATATGAGAAATATCAGAGTATTTGGTCGGAAGGGATAATTAGACGGGAGGACATCAAGATCTGTTAGTTGGATGGATCAGAAGTCGCAGTGATGGGAAGGGTGGAGTTAAAGGTGGTATTAGAGAATAGAGTGGAGATTTTGGACTTATGGATAGTAGATCGAAAAGTAGAGTCAGTAGTGGGATGGGATTGGATCACCCGAATTGGTCCAGATTGTGGTTTTTTTTGGGGGGGGGGGGGTATTCGCATGGTGTGGTGTATTTTTACCTGTTGCAAGATGTGAAGAAAATAGAGATATGAATTTGTGGTATGGAGAAAGATTGCTAGGAATTGAGACCTTTTTGGAAGGGGAAAGGAGAGGAGAAGATGATGGGGTTGTTAGAGACTATAGGGGAGGTGTTGGGGGTAATTATAGGGGAGATATCGGGGGGAATTATAGGGGAGGTATCGGGGGAATTATAGGGGAGATATCGGGGGGAATTATAGGGGAGGTGTTGGGGGGAATTATAGGGGAGATATCGGGGGGAATTATAGGGGAGGTATCGGGGGGAATTATAGGGGAATTATAGGGGAGGTATTTGGGGGAATTTTAGGGGAGATATCGGGGGGGAATTATGGGGGAGGTATCGGGGGGAATTATAGGGGAAATATCGGGGGAATTATAGGGGAGGTATTGGGGGGAATTATAGGGGAGGTATTGGGGGGAATTATAGGGGAGATATCGGAGGGAATTATAGGGAAGGTATTGGGGGGAATTTTAGGGGAGGTTTTGGAGGGAATTATAGGGGA